TTCTGCAAAAATGACCAGAAAGGGGGATATCGGCATTGCATTCTGTGATCGAAGCTCAGCGCAGCGCCTGAGGGGAAGAGGAAGGGGCCTCCCGAAAATCACTAGTGTTCGCTCGACCACATGCAAGAGTGACCCTTCGCCGGAGTGACCTTTCGATGCGGGCTCTTTCGGGTCCCCCGATCGCAGAATGCGATGCGATAGCAGCAGCGTCTCGCGCGCCTGGGTTTCGCCCCCCTGTGCCCCACACCCGAAAGCCGCGCGCCACAGGTCACTCTTGCTCAGGGTCACTTTTGCCCAGTGTCACTCTTGCGTCTAGCCGGTTCGTATTCGCCAGCTTTCTCAATACATGGTCAGAGTGTGGCGCCGTCTCGGAGGGTTTGTCACGATCTCCACTAATATTTCGTGTTTCGAGGTCGTGTCAATATCGCTCTGCATCATGGTCCTCGACGCAGTGCCATGTTTATCTCGCCTCTAAGTTGAACTCGCGCGACCCAGTTCTTCCGACTGGGAGCCCGTCTTTCCTCCAGCTCCTTGTGGAACTCGCTAACAGATATGTCACCATAGCTTTTAATTGTGGCATGCTCATGTCTTTCCCAACCATGTTGTGTTGAGTTGGGCCCCCGTTTTGGAGAGACAGCGCCCCGCGTCTCACCTCCTGCTGTCCCTCCTCCCTCCCCCCTCCTCCCTCCTTCTGCACCTGCTGTTGTGTTTCACATGTTCATCCCGTCGCACCCCTCACACGTTTCGTGGTCCTGTAGAGAGCTCCACCTGAGGCCCCAATGGCTGCGTCCGCATACCTGGTCCACATAATTTCGACGCACCCTTCACACGTTTCGTGGCCCCACAGGGAGCTCCACCGAAGGCCCCAGTGGCTACGTCCGCATACCTGGTCCACACCGTATCTGCGCACCCCTCATACGTTTCGTGGCCCCACAGGGAGCTCCACCGAAGGCCCCAGTGGCTGCGTTCGCATGCGTTCTCCACACCATGTTGGCGCACACGTCGCATGTCTCGTGGCTCCAGAGGGAGCTCCACCTGCGGCCCCAACGGCTGCGTTCACATGCCTTCTTCACACCATGTCGGCGCACCCCTTATGCGGCCCCATAGAGAGCTCCACCAGAGACCTTGGTGGCTGCGTTCGCATGCATTGTCCGCACCATTCGGGCGCACCCGTCGCACGTTTCGTGGCCCCCATAGGGAGAGCTTCACCAGAGGCCCCAGTGGCTGCGTCCGCGTATCTGGATTACATCAGTTCGGCGGACCCCTCTCATGTTTCGTGGCCCCAGAGGGGGCTCCACCTGAGGCCCCAGTGGTTGCGTTCGCACACCTGATCCACACAGTTTCGGCGCACCCGTCACATGTTTCGTCACCCCATAGGGAGCTCCGCCTGAGGCCCCAGTGGCTGCGTCCGCATACCTGGTCCACACCATATCAGTGGACACCAGATACGTTTCGTGGACCCATGGCGAGCTCCGCTTGAGGCCCCAGTGGCTGCGTTCGCACACCTTCTCCACTCCATTCGGGCGGACCTTTCACACATCTCGTGGCCCCACAGGGAGCTCCACCAGAAGCCCCAGTTGCAGGAATCGCATGCGTGACAGCGTCGATGTCGGCGCACTCCTCAGACGTTTCGTGGCCTTATAGCGAACTCCACCTGAGGGCCCCAGTGGCAGGCTTAGCATGCATGATCGCGCCCATTTCGGCACACCCCTCACACGTTGAGCTTAGCCGTAACGGGTTACATCCAGATGGAGCCCGTTACGGCCGACCTCTGCGACGTTATGAGCAATGCTGTTCAGTCTTTTTCCCCGCATGCCTTCGTCCTTGTGCTAGCCCTCTCCCTCAGTTTCCACATGTCAAGCGATACTCGCAGCTGCACATGGTTTCGCCAGGCTAATTTCCTTGCCCCGCCAGTTTGACCCCGAGAGTCGCCAAGTCTTGCATCATCCTCAGGTGGGTGCTAGCCGAAGGGTCTGACCATGGGTCGTGGAGATTTGGTACTGGGCGGCAGGAACCACTTGGGTTTGGCCAGGGACCGGCCTGACAGGTTGGCCGAGCGAGGAGAAGCAGGCGATCGAGCACCCGTATGAGGACCTCGCATGCACACGACCAGCTAGGGAGCTGCCCCGCGAACACGGCAAGAGCATAGGTGTAGCAAGCGAGCGCAGCCCAGTGCTGTCGGCTGGCACGCGGTCGGACGCCACCGCCTCTGCCCGTGGAGATTGACTTCCAGGCCCCGCGCAGACGAGCACCACCGCACCCCGCGGCTCCCTGCGAGGGCCCGCTTCTGCTCGAGGGCCGCCCGCCGCACGAGGCCGCGACCCGTGCGCACGCCGCCCGGCCCCCCCCCCCCGCTGCGCCCTCCGCCGCCAGAACGGGGGCCTGCGTGCGGCCGCCGCGGCCCGCGCGCCGACGCGCAGCAGGGCTCGGGCCCCAGGGGGGCGGCGGACGAGCGCCAGAGAGGGGGCCGCGGACCGCCACGCAGCTTCCAGGCGGTGGCTGCCGCGGGCACCGGGCGGCCGCGCGGTGGCCACCGCCCGGGCCACGGAGCGCCGCGCGGCCCCCGGCAGGGCGGCGCCTCTCCGCCAGGGCCTCGCCCGGGCCTTCTCCGGGGCCCTCGGTGTTCCGCGCCCCCGGGCCCCCGACGTCGTGGCTTTTCGGGGTCCCCCCCCCCCTCCAAGCGCCCACAGGACCTCGGGACGGGCCCCTCAGAAGTCTGGGCCCCTTCCTGGGGACCGGTTTTTCCTCCTGAGTGGTTTTTGGACGGTCCCGAGGCCCGGGAAGGGCGCGGGATGGCGAAATACTTCCCGTGATTTCTTCACCGCGCGAAGGGGTTTGGGTGATCCACTCTATCTCGCCTCCGTCCTCTGGAGAAGTCCGACTTGTCTCCAGCTCCCGCGGTGCACGGTGGCGCCATGGCGGCGCACGGCCGCGGCGGGCGCACGACTGGGCGGACGGCGGCGGCGGCGCCCGCCGTGCCGCGCAAGCGGCCCGCGTCGGCAGCGGCGACGCGGGGCGCGCTGCGCAAGCGGCCGGCATCGGCGACGCCAGGCGCAGCTGCGGCTTCCCCTCACGCGGAGCTCGGGCGGCGGCTGCGGCGGCCAGCGGCAGCCCGCAACCCGCGGGACCTCTTCGGCGCGGTGGACCGGAGCGGCAGCCACAGCGTCAAGTACGAGCTGAGTGGCAAGCCAGACGGCATACAGATGTGGGTGGCCGACATGGACTTGCCGTGCTGCCCATCGATAGTGCGGGCCATCCGCGAGCGGGCCGCGCATCCCAACTTCGGGTACACGATCCAGCCTGGCGAGGCATGGGACGCCGTTGGCCGCTGGCTGGTGGCGCGCCAAGGATGGACGCGCTCGCCAGCGCGGGAAGAGTTTGTCTTCTCTGCGAGCGTGGTGACCAGCTTCTGCAACGTGCTGCGGGTGTTCACCAGCGAGGGCGACGCTGTGCTGGTCATGACGCCCCTCTACGCGCCCCTGCGGCGGGCCATCGTCGGCTGCGGGCGGAGGCTCGTGGAGCACCACCTGGGCCCCGCTGGCGAGCTTCAGCTGGATGCCGCAGGCTCTTTGGCGCGCAGGCTTGACCAGGAGGGCGTGAAGTTGGTGCTGCTGTGCAACCCGCAGAACCCTTCTGGGCGAGTGTGGAGGCGCGGGGAGCTGGGCGCGCTGGCGACCGAGTGCGCGCGCCGCGAGCTGCTGGTGGTGGCGGACGAGATCTGGGCGGACTGGGTGCTGCCTGGGAGCCCGTGCCCCTTCGTGCCCTTCGCCAGCGTGGCCGCGCCCGCGGGGTGCGCGCACATCGCCCTGGGCGCGCCCACGAAGACCTACTCGCTGGCGGGCCTCCACGCGTCGTACCTCGTCATCCCCGACGCGGGCCAGCGGCAGCGCTACAAGGACTACGTGGAGCCCGCCTTCCTGTCGTACGGCTCCACGTTCGCCACCGCGGCGCTCCTGGCGGCGTACGTGGACGAGGCGCAGGGCTCGTGGCTGCGCGCGGCCCGGGCCCACGTGGCCGCCAACGTGGAGCGGCTGGACGCCTCCCTGGCGCCCGGCGTGCGCCTGCTGCGCCCGGAGGCCACCTACTGCGCCTGGCTGGACGCCCGCAGAGGGCACCTGCACACCCCCTGCGTCGCGCCTGGCCAGCTCGAAGAAGCAGGAACGCCATGAGCACAGACTTTTGGGGCGCTCCACGCGGGTTTCTCGGATCCGCGCCAGGCCCCCGCGGCGGCGGCTCCGGCGCCGCCCCTGGCGCGCTCCGCGCGCCAGGGAGGGGGGGTCCAGCGCAGGTCCAAGAAATCCGCGCGGACGGTCCGGGGGGGAAATCCGCGGACGGTCCAAGGAATCCGCGCGGACGGTTCCGCGGACGGTCCGCGGCGGACCGTCGGAAGTTTATGCTTTTGGCGTTCTTTCTTCTTCTGCCAGTGCCATCCTCGAGATCCAGGCGCCGCATGGTTCTCGCACCTGGCGCTCTCTTGCCCAGTTTCGGGCCCTGGGGGCGCCACGGGTCGATCCAGCGTGTTAAACGGCCCTGGGCGTTTACTGAACAGCCCTGCCCTGTTCGATTCCTCCTCTGGGTGCGTTTACTAGAACGGCGTCGCGCGCTGGGGTAATTCTCGTGAGGGTGGGTTTTCTGGTCTCTATCCAGGGCTTTTTCCCACGAGGCTGCCACGTCTTCGCGGCGACGTCGGGTCTCGGGGATCCTGGGCTCCAGGGCGAGGCACAGCCCCTCCTGGCCGAGGCCAGGAGGGGCCTGTGCAATCACGCCGTGCTCGGGCTCAGGATATCCAGACCCCCGCGGTGATGCTCTCTTTGCAGCGTCGACCCTCAGAGGTTCAGGAGGGAAAGAAACACACAGACACAATTCATCGCCGACTCCCAGGAAAATATGCAAAAATATGGGAAGTGGGGGGGAAGACAAGAACCCAGAAAATATAGGAAAATATGGGGGATGCTTTTATTTGTGTGTATGTATTTGTGTGTGTCCTGGGGCCCCTTCAG